AATTCACTATCAAGAACAGTACTCTTAAGGACCCACATGTAAAAAAAAATATATATATATATATATATATATATATTATATATATATATATATATATATATATATATATATGTATCTCAGCTTTTTTTGTGGTGGCAAAGAATTGGAAATTGAGAGGATGCCCATCCATTGGGGAATGGCTGAACAAGTTGTGGTATATGAATGTAATGGAATACTATTGTGTTATAAGAAATGGTGAACAGGCTGACTTCAGAAAAACCTGGAAAGACTTGTATGGTCTGATGCTGAGTGAAATGAGCAGAACCAAGAGAATGTTGTACACAATAACAGCCACATTGTGCGATGACTAATATTGATAAACTTAACCCTTCCCAGCAATACAAGGATCTAAGACATCTCCAAAGACCTTGTGATGGAAAATGCTATCCACATCCAAAGAAAGAACTATGGAGTTTGAATGCAGATTGAAGCATACTATTTGCTATTTTTTTTCTTCCCTTGAGTTTTGTTTCCTCTTTCTGGTGGTCCTCCTATTGGTTCTAATTCTTACTTACAACATCACTAATGTGAAAATATGTTTAATAGGAATGTATATGAATAGCCTATATCAGATTGTGTGCTGTCTTGGGGAGGGTGGTGAGGAGGAAGGGGGAGAAAAATTTTAAACTCAAAAGCATGTGGAAGTGATTGTTGATAAATCAAAATAAATTAATTTTTTTAAAAAAGAACAGTACTCTTGGGCCAAGTGGTCAAAAGAGCCTAGGGTTTAGAGCTCAAACCCCTTTGTTTTACAATCAGGAAATTGAGGCACAGATAGGTTAAGTGACTTACCCAAGATCACACAGGTAGTATCTGAGGCAGGATTCAAACTGAGGTCTTCCTGACCCCAAGTCCAGTGCTCTATCCACCATGCCACCTGTGGGCTAGCACATAAAACTCCCCTGTGCTTTTACCCAAAGCAGCCATTCTTGTGAGGAGGAAACCGCATGTACACAGGTTTTCTCCTTTCTCCATTCCCTCTCAAGAATACTTTTCATCCTAATGTACTATATCTGACTTCTGAATAGAAAAAAACAAAATGAAACAAAACAAAAAGGAGATAAGGAATTGTCTGTTGCTCTCTTTTGTAGGTTGACTCAGAAAGGTGGTTCCTCTGACATTAGCCTGTCCTCCTAAATCCCAGTCAGCCAATCATCTTGGGGCAGCTCTAGTTACTGAAAGCCAATCAAGAGTTGCCTGTGTCCTCTCAACAAGGTATCAATGGGCATGCCCACACTCTCCTTTGGGAGACAATTTCCACCAACACTAAGAGGAGGGGTGTTCTCTCACATTGGGCCATTCTACTAGTTTAACCTGAAATCTGTCCCCACAAGTCTCAAACCTTCAGTCTGAGCAAAGATACTCTAATAAGTAGCTTTCTGCCCTGTTTCCCAATTTCTCTGGATGAATTATAGCTACATCTTCATTTTCCCTTTTCTCTCACTATTCTATCCCTCCCACTCAGACACCTCAACTTCCACTTGGCTTTCATCAATTTTCCAGTACCTTGGTGTCCAAATGTCATGGGTTTGCCCACACTCTCCATAAGGAGGTACATATAAGATACCTCAAAATTCCATTGTCCTGTAAGATCACCAAGGTGATTGGAGAGCTCTGGATTTGATTATGGAGCTCCTAATTAACCACTGTCACATAGGTGCTAGTTTATCATGGGTGATGTGGAAGGGAGACATTTGAGTAATTGGACCCTAGAGTCCTGGATGAAAGCCAAGTAGAACTTGAGATGTCTGAGTGGGAGGGGTATAGCAGTAGAGAGAAAAGGGAAAATGAAGACAGAAAAAAGGAGTAAGAAGAGAATTAATGAGCTACATGACATCAAGGGAGATTTGGGAACAGGGTAGGAAGTCACTGCTCAGAGTATCTCTACCAAGAGTGAAGATCTGATACTTGTGGGGATAAATTTCAGCCTAAAATGGTAGAAGGGTCCAATGTGAAATAACAACCCTCCTCCTACTGTGGCTGGAAATTGTCTTATTGTTGCAGAATGTTTAAAATATTCTGATACTATAAAATTGTAGGAATAGGATTCTATAAAAATTCCCCTGGAGTTGGGTGAAAGAGATGAGGGGGTAACTGGGAAAATCATTAGAGGGAATCTTGGAAAGCAGGTCAAAACATCTCAAAAATAATTGCAAAAAGAAGTTGCCTTGATCACTTTCTACCTCCCTGGTCATCTAAATGGGTGCTCCAAGCTTAGAACATGACTGTGTTCTCTAGCTAAGAAGGAGTTATATTAAATGGTTCTGTTACATAGACATAGATTGCATCCCTAACCTCAGGCAACTATCTTGCAAATGCATTTCAAAGTGTGTGTGTGTGTGTGTGTGTGTGTGTGTGTGTGTGTGTGTGTGTGTGTGAGTGAGTGAGAGAGAGAGAGAGAGAGAGAGAGAGAGAGAGAGAGAGAGAATGGATGGATGGAAGGAAGGATGAGTGGATGGATGGATGCTGGCAAATACATACCCAGTCCTGGAAAATCAGATCAAGGTATATTAGTCACTCCAGAATTCACATTAACCTCAGGGAAGGCAAATTCAGTAAATGTGGATCTCATCTCCAAATCCCAGATGTCTCAGCCAAGAGGAGAAAGATTACCTGGGGATAACAGATCATATTTGTGGCTAGGATATAGGTGATGAGTCCTGACACCAGGAAGTAGGCAATAGCCAACTCACCCCTGTATCCAGGGTTCCTGGGTGCTTTCCCAAAGTTTTCTGGTCTATCCAGAGAATTAAGATTAAGAGTATTGGAGAACCCTTTCCCCCAACCTCAATTCATTCAATCCACTGTGGTATAGTTAAAAAAAAAAACCAAAGAAAAAACCCACTGGATTTGGGTTCCAATTTTGCAGGGTTCCACCGCTACTTGTATGACCTTGGACAAGTCCCTGACCTTTCTGGGCATCCGTTCCTTCACTTGTAAAATGAGAGGGTTTGCTAAATGCCCCATAAGGTCCCTTCCAACTCTAAATCTTGGAGCCACACAAAGTCAAAGAGGTGGTTAAGTATCTTGAACCCAAGTCTCTTGATTCTAAAGCTAAGTATATTACACCTGCTTCTCAGTTGAGCTTCATCTAAGGGTAAAACTAGCCTTAATGACTTGCTTGTGAATAAATATCATCCAGGCAAATCTACCTAAACTGAGAGAAACAAGTCAGGGTCAAGAAGAAGGCTTCTTCAGATTCCCTTTGGGAAGGGAAAAGGAGGTGACTGCAAGGTTAGGGAAGAACCATCTGAAGCCCAGGGAAAGGGTCTTTGCAATTAAAGCTGACAGGGACCTGGGAGATCATCCACTGCAAATCCCTAAGTTTACAGAGACCGGAAGTGACTTTCCAACTTCATAGCAGTGGTAGTAGCTCAACCAGGATTTCAACATAGTTCCTTGGTTATTCAAGGCAATGCTCCTTCCTCCATGGAGTACTGCCTTACCTCCTTTCTTTAGAGTGGGGTAGGAAAGTGCTCTCCTCTGGAGGGGGTTTTCAGAATAGGGAGGGAACAGGAAGGTGGGACTAACCCTGCAGATACATAGATAGATGGATAGATAGATAGACAGACAAACAGTTAAATAAATGGATAGATAGATAAATTAATGAATGAATAAAGGGTTAAATAAACAAATGGATAGATAGAAGAATGAATGGATAAATAAATAGTTGGATAAATGAATAGATAAGCTAGTAAGTAAGTAAGTAAATAAGTAAGACCTTAGTTTCCTAAGGGGAGAAATCCATGCTCTACAAACTTCTTATTTCTGTGCCTAATTCCTGTTTTGTTTCCTTTTGCTCTTGGTTTCCTAGTAAAGTCCCCCCTGTAAAATGCCACCCCTGGCTGAACTAAAGCAAAAGGTAGAAAAGGCTGGGCAGGGCCCCAGAAGTGGTGGGGTTGTGGCAAAGGTGTCCCCAGGTTTCAGGAGGAGGCATCAGGTAGGGAGGCCAAGCTCAGGACAGGGAAAGCCAGTCTGCCTATGATTGTGGATCTTTTTTTTCTCTCTGGAGCTGTCTTTTTTTTTTTTGGCTAGGCAATGGGGTTAAATAACTTTTCCAGGGTCACACAGCTAGTAAGTGTTATGGCTCTGAGTCTGATTTGAACTCAGGTCCTCCTGACTCCAGGGCCACTGCTCTATCCACTGTGCCACCTAGCTGCCCCCTGGAGCTGTCTTTCGCACCTTAACCTGCCAAGAATGACCTGCCTTCTCAGGGGACCAGGTACTTAAGGAAAATTCTGTTTTGACTGGAGCAGAATAGAACCAGAAAGAAGAGAGAGAATTCTCTGTGGTGTCATGGAAGAATCATTGGATCTGGAACCAGAGGACCCAGGTTCTAATTCCCCCTCTGCTATGTGTGACCTAGGGTAGGTCATTTCTCTCCCTAGGCCTCAGTTGCCCTATATGTCAAATGAGGGGTGGGGTTGGGCCAAATGATCTCCAAAGGTCTTTTGAGCTCTGAATTCTATGATCCTATTGATCTATCCAAGACCTCCAAGTTCTCTTGGGGAATTGAAGGTTCTAGGAATCCAACTGGATTGATTAACCAAATATACAGCATAGTATACTTGGATAGAAGTCTTCAGAGTCAGGAGATCCTGGGTTCTAGTCCTATCTCTGACAAAAACTGGCTGGGTGACTGTGGGCAAGTCACCCCCTCTTAGTGCTCTGGGAAGTTCTCTAAGACAAGACATTGCTGAGAAGGTACAGAGCTGCACTGGGGGAGGGAGATTCCTTGTTTGTGAGTTCCCTACACCAAGGAACTCACAGGTCCAGTGTGGGAGCAGATTTGCCAAAATGTATGCACCGGGAAAGAGAGCTGAGCCCAGGAGGAGCTGGACTCTGGGGACAAGATTGCAGCAACTCCGACTGAGCAATCTCTCTAGCAGCCTCCAAAGCTTGGCAGAGCTGCCCTCCGTAATGCTCTCTTCCCATACTTGCCTGTGCGAGCAGTAAGATGACACCAAAGGCAGCCGGCATGAGAGCCTGCTGCTATTGGACGCCTTGCCCCTAAGGACGGAGCCAGGAGACGAGAAGGGTGAGGAAGGGCTGTAGTCTCCACAAAGGAGCCCTCAGGATGGGTGGTGACGGCAGCAGGGGGTGAGGGACCTAGCGTTTTGTCAGAGGCTGGCGTTCCCAGGTCCCGTTTGGCCCGAGGGCTCTGCAACCCACAAGCAGAATGTGGCTCACATCCCAGAGAGGAGATGGAAGGAGGGAAGGAAATTCAGGGCTTTGGAGCCCTCCCCTTGGCCTGGAAGAGGCTTTTGCTGACATGTTTCAGCTGTTAAAAATAAACCTTCATCTCCATCATCTTGACAGCTCTCACTCCTGGGACAGTGTGTTCCGAGCTTCCCCAAGTCCCTCTCCAGGGATCATTGGGATGAGGGAAGAATGCTCCCTCCTTAAGCCCTAGAACTCAGAAAGCATAGCTCAGAGGCAACAAAGGCAGAGGAAAGCAAACCACTGGCTGGCTTTATCTCTATCTCATTCTTGCACCTACCTGTCCCAGCGGAGGCTTGTCTTCATCACAGGGGGTTGACTCACGGGTCACTCTGTCTCCAACATTCTGGGCTGTAATCTGATCACCAGCTGGAGATCAACCTGGGACCCATTCTCCACAAAGAGCCCGATGACCCCATGTATCTCTCCTGAGAGACGCAGGGGTCATAGACCATAGGTTCTTTGTCCCACCCCATCCTTAGATGCTGAGCCTCTAGTGCCTTCTGATTTCCTCCTTCTCCTCTTGTTTACAGAAATGTATCTTAGTGGGGCCCCAAGTGGGGTTTTGACATCCTGCTCACTTTTGTTTATTATTTTGTTTAAGAAAGTACACATCCACAATATATCTCAGAGGAGGCTGAGGGAGGTCAGCGGAACTCTGGCTGGAAAGGGGACCATTCCAGCAAGGTGTCACTGGGGTGTTGAAAGAGGGCTGTGTGAAGCCCCAACATGTAAGTGGGAAGTGGAGGGGGCAGAACTGGAGAGGATTTCGGATGGAACTGTTTCACCTCAAACACAGTCTCACTTTCTTCATTATTGAACTGCGGTGATATCATCATATCCATGTCTGAATGACACATACCTATTCAATGGAGAATATCAGAAACAGAATAGAACTTGGAGATCGTCTAGCCCAGACCCCTTAATCTGCAGATGAAGAAACAGGTCTAGAGGTCTAAAATGACTTGCCAAGGGTCACACATCTAGTCAGTGGCAAGGTTCTGAGGGCAAGTTCAGTCCTCTTTCTACTATACCATGCAGAAGAAGACATGTAAAGTCGCAGAAAGTGAGGAAGCAGGAGGGATGAAAAGAGATTTAAAACCTGAAGAGAAAGCATCTTCAGAGATATCAGGCAGCCATTTTCCATCACTTGAATGACGCTGCCCTCTGGCCATAAAGCCATCAGAAGTCTTATGAGGGGGTGCTGGGGCTGAGAGGCTCTGGATAGGTCACTAAAATAGAAGGAATCAGTGAGTCCCCCACCCCAGCTTAGGAGCCACCAAGGCCTAAGTTGGTTTCCCTCAAAGAGCCAGGGGAGCAAAAGAGCCAGTACTTCCACATCCTATTTCTAGAGGAAAGGGAGATATTAACAACTTCTAAGAGTCCTCATACAAAGACAAGATTTCTTTGGAAAAGCTTTCCAAACACTCAGTAGGGCAACTCATTTCCAAATACTCATGAAGAGAATCATAGCCAGGTTCTCTTATACAGGATCCCACCTCATGGAAGGAAGGAAGGAAGGAAGGAAGGAAGGAAGGAAGGAAGGAAGGAAGGAAGGAAGGAAGGAAGGAAGGAAGGAGGGAAGGAAGGAAGGAAGGAAGGAAGGAATTGATTCTTGATCCTATGATGCTCTGACATTCTAGAAGGGGGAATGATAGGAAGAAGCTGAAAATGGGAAATTTTTCTTATTCCAGGCCTTGAAGACAATGCTTCTAAACTCCTTCTGTCCAATTGTTTAACCACTCAATTCATTCATGCAGTGAACATTTATTAAATGCCTGTTGTGTACAGAGTACTAATGCTAGACCCCAAGGGAGAAGACAAAGTTTAGATAAAACATGGTCCCTGCATTGGGAGAGCTTACAGTCTAGTCGACCACCAAAGAACTCTGCCTTCTTGCTTCCCCAGCAGGAAACATCTCTCTCCTTTCAACAGTCACCCAGACCACCACACTGGGTCCCAATTCTGCCTCTAACACTTTCTAACTGTGTGACTATGGGGAAGTCACTTAAATTCTCTGAACCTCAGTTTCTTCATGGAGATAACAAGACCTGTGATCTCTACTTCGGTATTGTTGTGAAGCTCAAATGAGATAATATATGTGAAGCATTTTGCAAACCTTATGGTGCTATATGAATGCCATTTACTATAACTATTGACCATTTAACCTGTCCAAGGAGGTAGGAGACTACTGCAGGCCCAATCCTTCCCCTGCTAGGAAGAGCCCTTCTCTCAGCCAGAGCTCAGACTCTAACCTGATAAAGTCATAAAGCTGGGTTTCATCTAGTGAGGAAAGAGCAGAAAATGAGGATGGAGGAGGGAAGGTGTGGGGAAGAATGAAAAGGGAGAGATGAAGACAAACAGAGAAACTTGGAGCAACAATGAAAAGAGGAAGCAAAGTTGAAATAGGAAGAATGAATAGGAGAAAAAGTGAAAGGAAGAAAGAACTGAAAAGGAGAGAAGAGGGGCTTACGAAAGAGAAGAACATGGGGGGAAGGGAAATAGAGGAAGGAGACCTAGGATCCTGGCTGAGACTGACTCCCCTGCAAATAGGGCTTTTACCTAAGGATGGGAAATATGTCGTCATGACAACAGATGTAGCATTTAGGGTAATTACTGGTGAATAACAAAACACCCCTGTGAACAAAGGGAGAGCGAGAGGGTGGCAAGCCTCTGTCTCGGTGCTGGAACCTGCTGAGAAAAAGTCTTACATACAGGTTCCAAAACTTGTCTGAGGAACAAATGCTAAGGGTTAGTGGCAAGCCTCTGACCTCACCTCCACCCTACCATCTTTCAGGCTGAGCTGGGGGAGGGCTTATAGCCATGGAAGGAGACTTGGAAATTCCTCTAGTCCAACCACTTCCATTTTAAAATGAGTTTTAACTAGGGGGTAGCTAGGTGGCACAGTGGATAGAGCACTGGCCCTGAAGTCAGGAGGACCTGAGTTCAAATCTGGCCTCAGATCAAACACTTGACACTTACTAGCTGTGTGACTCTGGGCAAGTCACTTAACCCCAATTGCCTAAAAATACAAATAAATGAGTTTTAACGACTTATGAAAGGTCACATTGGTGGAGTTCTAGGTCCAAAGCCAGTGCCCTTTCTACTATAAAGTGATGCTCCCTTTAAGAAATGGGCTTGGATCCCACACTTGCATACTTGGTGTCTTATCAATTTATCACTGGTACCAACATTTCCCCCAGTCTGTCTCTTTAGAAGACTTCTTTCCTTTCGATTTTTTCGCCCTAGTTTTATTCTTCAAACACTGTCCAGGGCTCAGCCTTTCCTTCTTCTACACCATTCTTACTTCTAGGACAGAAAGAGAGCATCCCTAAGAGTGTGGTTCTGACGCTGAGCAGCAGTGGGGAATGGGTCAGTCCTGAATAATCTTTCTCCACTGCTCCTGGGCTGTGAAGGAAGTTCGTAAAGCCACTTGAGGTCTCCTTTGCCTGGCAGTTCATGTACCCATACTTCCTGGACCTAAAGGATTGGGACTAGAATTATCCAATTGCCTTCCAGCTCTGAAGTCCTATATTTCCAGATGACCTCCATTGCTCAGTGGTCATCCTGAGCCTGGAAGAGAGAGAGCATCTCCACTACCACATGATTCTCCTTTTCAGCTTTTCTGAGAAGAGAGACTCAGATAAGCTGAACTTGAGTCAGGGTATACTCGCAGGTCCTCCAACCTCAAGATTCTGTCTCTAATAGGCACACTGAGGGGCATTTTGGGTGCAATCTGGTCATTCTCCCTAACTGTTACGGACACAAGTCACAGGCCATCAAGTCTGTAATGATATACCAGATATCCTTAGAATCCATTAGTGACTCATTTTGAGGCCATCATTCAGGAACTTATTCAAAGTGTTCTGGGAATCTGTTCATATTCTCCTATTCATATTCTCAGTGAAGGTTCCCAGCTCCTTGCAGGAGTTTTCCTTAGGTACCACCTCACAAACCTGGAAGAAAATTCAATACAGCCCAGCCAACCTCAGAGCCTCCCACACTGTGAAGTGGATGGAAAAGATAGGTGGGGAAGGGGAGAAGAATCCAGAGCATTCCATCATGTAGAGTAGGAATCATAGGAAGATTTGGGAAGGAGGAAAGAACTTGGAACATCCCTTCCTGGATGATGTGAGGAAGAGAGAAGCAAGGGAAAGGTGAAGGGAACCCAGACCATCCCATCCTGTGGAATGTGGTGGGGGAGAGGAGATATGGGGGAAAGGGAGGGGAGAGCTCAGAACAGAGCATCCTAAGAAGTAAGGAGGAAAGAAAAAAAAAGACTGAAAGCCTAGGATTATAGTAACATGATGTATTTCACTGGGTATGGGATGCCTTCCACATAGGACCCAGTGACCTTGAGCCCTATATGTAAGGACTGAGTGAGTAAGTGGGCCCCCCTGTAGAGAGACCCACATCCCACATGTTACAGTTTGACGCTCCTTGTGTGGGGCTTGAAGGGAAGCAGAATAGAGATCTCTAGTCTGTTCACCTCCAACTCTTCTCCAAGAAAGACTTTAATTCTTGCCAGGAAAGGAAGCAGGAGGTTGGGGCCAGAGGCCACTCTGCTCTCCTTAGAGGGAGAGGGAATATCGAAATAGAATTTCATCTATCTGCTTCCTTAAACGTTAGCAGACTTTGTGCTGCTTGGTCATCTGGCGGGGAAGGGTGACCCCAAGCCCTATATCCAAAGCTTGACCCTTTTCCCACCTAACAGCAGTTCCACAATGCTATCAAATAGCAAAGAAATCCATTTATTCAAATGATAGCAAAACAGAAATCAGATAAGGCATACATAGGAGAACATATACCAAACAAGAC